AATGTCAGATTTTGAAGCTGTGTTAGAGAACACCACAGTAACTGTTGTTGGAATGCTAGAATGAATCAGTAAACAAGAAATAGTTTGGGGAAGAAAGCAGCATTGATAGATTTCACTTCTCAGAGAAATTTAGACCCAAATGTGAAAAATTAGACCTATATAATAAGTACAATAAGCAAGCTCTTTATGGAATAAAGTTTAACAAAACCAGTGTTATATACTTAAAGTACCTTATTAAATCTTTCATTTTAACATCTCATGTATCAGAATACACAGGAAATAGATATGTAAAATTGGACAGCCAATGCCCTTGCTTCCCCTCTGCTTGCTGTGGTCAGTTCCTTTGAAAATACTAGGTTTATCAGTTGCTCCAGTTTGTCTTTCTCCAAATGTGGTTACTTTTCTTGCAATGTTCTAGATTCCTGTCAACCTCAACAACTACCTTATTGTTTACCCAGGCTGTGAAAGAAGCTTTGCTGTATGTGAGAACAAGAGCATAGTAGTGACTACCCAATATATCATGGTGGTTAAATGGTGTATTTTTTGCTTCATGAGACATTGACATAATCAGAATGATGAGATCTATGTAGAGTTATGATAATGGGCAGCATGTAGATATTTCTCATCTTCTTGTAATACTTAAATATGTACTGTTGTAAAAATTGGTCAAAAATTCTAGCGTATAAACCATTCACTCATATATTTGGTGTTGTAGCATATAATCCAGTCATTCACATAGAATTCATTTAATATATTACAAATGAAACCAGCACTATAATGAAGAATAAATTAACAAAATTATCGAGGATATGATGCCTTGGAATTCTTCTGGCAAAGCATTTGAATTGTGTGATTTGAAATTTCTATAATTGCATATAGTAAATGCCTAGTTGCCTTACCTACCTACCTTTTAAGAACTAAATTGTGGGGCCGGGTGCTGTGGCTCATGCATGTAATCCCAGCACTTTAGGGGACCTGAAGATCACCTGAGGTCAGGAGTTCAAGACCAGCCTGACCAACATGGAGAAATCTCATCTCTACTAAAAAATGCAAAATTAGCTGGGTGTGGTAGTACATCCGTATAATCCCAGCTACTCGGGAGGCTGAGGCAGAAGAATCACTTGAACTCAGGAGGTGGAGGTTGTGGTGAGCCGAGATCACAGCATTGCACTTCAGCCTGGGCAACAAGAGCGAAACTCCATCTAAAAAAAAACAAAAACAAAAACAAAAAAAAACAAAAACTAAATTGCTCAGAGATGATAAAACGAACTTCCATTTTTGCTCTATGTATCTTTAAATTTTCAGAGATGCTTATTTTATTTACGCCTTTGCTTTATCTAATTGACATCATTCTGTCCCTCTAAATACAACTGTTGCTTATTCAACCATGATGTCTTGCTGATAAAGGGTACCACTTAAATAGCATGGGCATTACTGGAACTTTGTCGAAAATTTTAAATCTTCATATCTTCTTTCAGTAGTTTCCCTCATCAATTTCCAAAGTAACCTTAATCTATAGTGGGAGTGGGTTGCAGGAGAAGGGTAAAGAAATTTAAGGTTGTCTCATCACATTTTTCATGAGAGACAGAAAAATTAGAATGTAATTTATATACGTTAAGATACATCTGTAGGCATATTTTTCCTGAATATCTGAATTAAATGTGCCATGCTTCCATTAAGACTAAGCATATCCATATTTAGTACCTTAATTTTTCTGTACTGGTCATTCAAAGAATTAAACTCAGCCTTTTCAAGGGAAATTCTTAATTTTAAGGATAATAAATTTTCAAGTGGTTAAATGTGATGGTTGAAATCAAAATCGGGAGATTGAGTTTACTTAAACATGCATATTCACATTTTGGTAGAAGAAGAGATTAGTTCATTATACAGTAGTTGAACACTGAATTAAAGACATACTAGAATATATTATCAAATATAAACTCTATCTGTTTTGTTCACTGATGTACTTTCATTGTCTAGAACTGTGCTTGACATAATAAGAATGCTTAATAAGTATTTGCTGAATAAGTCGCTAAACCTCCATGAATTTATTTCATCTCAAACTCTTTACTAATTAGAGGGTGAATATTCCTTCTAGGTTGGCAATATGTATTCACTTAAGCTTTAGAAATGATATTTTTTCTCAATATTTTTTCCCCATTTTCAAAACCACTGAATGAATTTCCAAGGTATGAAACACATTTTAAAATGTTTTATATGATGACAATATTAAAGATAGATTTGAACAGATTTAGAAAGAATTGGGAGAGGGTGACAACCTGGTACTAGATCGCATTCTTAATTCTTTCTGTTGTGTAGAGATATTGCAACATGCATGTACCGCTTTTATTTCTTTTTTTAATTTTAATTTTTATTTTTTATTGAATTTTAGATTTTGGGGTACATGTGAAGAACATGCAAGATTGTTGCATAGGTACACACATGGCAGAGTGATTTGCTGCCTTCCTCCCCTTCACCTATATCTGGCATTTCTCCCCATGCTATCTTTTCCCAACTCCCCACCCCTCACTGTCCCTCCCCTATTTCCCCCCAACAGACCCCAGTGTGTGATCTTCCCCTCCCTGTGTCCACGTGTTCTCATTGTTCAACATCTGCCTCATTGTTCAAAACCACTGCTTTTATTTCTTTATTTTGTTTTTCTTTTTTTTTGGCTGGAGGGCTATCCCAGGAATTCAAGGTTGTTTTATTTTTTTAATTTAACTTTTATTCTGAGTTCAGTGATACATGTGCAGATTTATATAAGTAAACTTGTGTCATGGGGGTTTGTTATACAGATTTCATCACCCAAGTATTAATCCTAGTACCCATTAGTTACCTTTCCTGATACTCTCCCTCCTCCCATCTTCCAACTTCTAATAGGCCCCAGTGTGTGTTCTTCCCTTGTATATGTCTATGAGTTCTCATCCTTTAGCTTGCACTTATAAGGTAGAATATCCTGCAATATTTTTAAAAACTGTCTATAGTATTCTTCTGCCAGTTGTAATAATGTGTAATACTAAGGGTAAGATAAGAATAAAGTTATAGTTTTGGCCGGGCGCGGTGGCTCAAGCTTGTAATCTCAGTACTTTGGGAGGCCGAGGCGGGCGGATCACGAGGTCGAGAGATCTAGACCATCCTGGTCAACATGGTGAAACCCCGTCTCTACTAAAAATACAAAAAAAAAAAAATTAGCTGGGCATGGTGGTGCGTGCCTGTAATCCCAGCTACTCAGGAGGCTGAGGCAGGAGAATTGCCTGAACCCAGGAGGCGGAGGTTGCGGTGAGCCGAGATCGCGCCATTGCACTCCAGCCTGGGTAACAAGAGCAAAACTCCGTCTCAAAAAAAAAAAAAAAAAAAAAAAAAGAATAAAGTTATAGTTTTAATTCCAATTGTCACTGCCCCATTTTTATTTCTGCTTATGTGTGCATGACATTTATACAATTACATAACATCCAAAACTTCTTAGATATAGTAGATTCACAGCATATAGAACACATATATGTGTGCCTATTAGCTGGTAGTATCAATGGGGTATTTTTAATCTTACATTCATAACAGAGCATAAAACCAGTAATTCACAAGATTGAATTTTGAGCAAGTTTCTATATTATGTAATGCCAATGCACATCATTGTACAAATGATACTAAAAATACTATACGACAGGCAACGGTCTTTTTGTGTTGTTTACTAGGATAAAGAATGTCTTCAGGTGTAGCATTACTTGCTATCATAACATATTTTATATATGATACCAACTGCTCAACACAGGAAAGTAGTTGGGTTCATAATATATATTTTTAAAGTTTTGTGATAAATTTATCAAATGAGATGTTTAAGGTCTACTCATAATCCAAACCATCTCAATTGTTGAAACAAATGCATTCATCTGATTATTGACTGTAAATAGGAAGATTTCTTTTTTTCCCATTTTGTGTCTTCCAACATTGGCATAGGCACATTTTTATTTATTTAATTATTTTTGAGACGGAGTGTGACTCTGTCATCAGGCTGGAGTGAAATTGCATAATCTCAGCTCACTGCAACCTCTGCCTCTTGGATTCAAGTGATTCTCCTGCCTCAGCCTCCCAAGTAGCTGGGACTACAAGTACACACCAGCATGCCTAGCTAATTTTTTTTTTTATTTTTAGTAGAGACCCGATTTCACCATGTTGGCCAGTATGGTCTCGATCTCTGGACCTCGTGATCTGCCTACCTCTGCCTCCCAATGTGCTGGGATTACAGGCATGAGCCACTGTGCCAGGCAGCATATGCATATTTTTAAAAATGCAGATGTGCAGCTATGCAATGAGATGGTTATTTCATATAACACGTTGTCTGGCATAATCAGAACACAATATCCATAACAAGTTTTTTATATCCTTTAGTCCTCTGGTTTTTAGAATGATTACTAAAACTTATTGATCTCTATTACCAATAAATATTGAGAAATTCCTTAATCGGATATCTATGTGCATTAATACATTTCTGGAATGGAATTTTAAATAACCATCTGTCCACTGAGTTTTAAAAACTGCTAAATGCCTTAATAGCTGCATTAAACCTTATTTAATTATAAAAGTATAATATTGCGGGGCGCAGTGGCTCATGCCTGTAATCACAGCACTTTGGGAGGCTGAAGTGGGTGGATCATGAGGTCAGGGGTTCGAGACCAGCCCTACCAACATGATGAAACCCCGTCTCTAATTTAAAAAAATACAAAAATTAGCCAGGCATGGTGGCACCCACCTGTAATCCCAGCTATTTGGGAGGCTGAGGGAGGAGAATTGCTTGAACCCATTGGTGGAGGTTGCAGTGAACTGAGAGCGTGACATTGCACTCCAGCCTGGGTGGCAGAGCAAGACTCCATCTCAAAAAAAAAAAAAAAAAAAAGTATAACATCTGATAGTCTTTAGCACAGTGTGATACAAATTTAATTCTGTATATATATCATCTTTAAATAATATCCAGAAGAAGCACAAGTAAATATATTAGATCTAATCTGGTGGTCCAGCACCTCCAAAACTATGGAGTACACTCCTGAAATATCCTGTTACCTTTTATGTTTCAGAATCTTTTAATGAGCAATTATGTTAATCTGAAAGTCGCTTACCTGTACTTATTGTTAATAGCTATTCTTGTTTTTCTCATCTACAGAAAAAAACTCTAATCTGTATGATATTTGTTCCCATGTTTAGGCATTTGTCACATCAACTCCTCTCCTCTCCCAAAGTACTTCTCTTTTTCAAATCAAACTTTCTTAGTACCTCCTTTATGATTCTTTGTCTCTTTTTGTCCAGATCAACTTTTTTTCACTTTGATGTCCAGAACTGAAGAAATGGACTATTGTATAAAAATAATCATCGCCAATAGAATAATTGTAGTTGAAACCCATATTATAACAAAGAATAACGATTCTATTTTGTGATTTGTAAGAAATACCCATTTATATTTCCTTAACTATTGAATTAAATCGTTTTAATTATTTGTATTAAACCTTTAACTATCTTGGCATATTAATGCATTATCTTTTTATATTTTATGAATGGTGGACACTTTTATAGGTACTCTGTCATTTTTATACTGTAGGTATCTTATTTATCTTTATTCTTAATGTGCAAATTCATATTTGATTCAAACAAATTTATCACTAATTAACAGTGTCGATTATGCTAACATCTCATTTAGTGATTTTAATTTAAAATAGCTTTAGTTAACATGCACGTTTATGGTTGACGTCTTAATAATTTCTTCTTCCTCTTCTCTCTGTCTCTTTTCTCTCCTCTTCTCTTTGTCAGTTCTCTGTGGGTAAACACAAAGAACTGTTAAGGTGTGCCTGTTATGGACTTGTTGTCCGGGACGTATATATTTGCGGTACTGCTAGCATGCGTCGTGTTCCAGTCTGGCGCCCAGGAGAAGAACTACACCATCCGAGAAGAAATGCCAGAAAATGTCCTGATAGGCGACTTGGTGAAAGACCTTAATTTGTCACTGATTCCAAAAAAGTCCTTGAAATCTCCTATGCAGCTCAAGCTAGTCTATAAGCCCGGAGAGGTGCCACTGATTCGAATTGAAGAGAGTACTGGTGAGATCTTCACTACTGGCGCTCGCATTGATCGTGAGAATTTATGTGCTGGTACCTTAATGGATAATCAGTGCTTTTATGAAGTGGAGGTTGCCGTTTTGCCGGATGAAATATTTAGACTGATTAAGATACGTTTTCTGATAGAAGACATAAATGATAATGCACCATTGTTCCCAGCAACGGTTATCAACATATCAATTCCAGAGAACTCGGCTATAAACTCTAGATATGCTCTCCCAGCGGCCGTTGATCCTGACGTAGGAATAAACGGAGTTCAAAACTACCATCTAATTAAGGTGCGTTTTAAAATCACTTTGTTAAAGATATTACCTCATTTCTTAAAGAGTAAAATAAAATGATATTAAATTTCAAATTTTGAGTAAACCATCACTCCAATTTTTCAAAATTTGTGTAATGTAAAGCATAGTGGAGAAAATTCATCAATGCAGTTTTTGCAATTACATGGGGATTATGAATATTCATGGCATGTATATTCATTTTCAAACAGTTGTGTTTCCACTAATCTATAAAGGGATCAGACAAGAAGGTCAGCCCTGCTACTTACAAATCAGTAGTTTTCCCAGCTTCATTCTTTTAATCTGTCTAGTCATGCCTCTGCCAAAAACTTAACATAAGCAAATCATTAAGAATGAATCCACTAATGTGACCGGATCAATTTTTCCTAGTGATTACTTTAGATATAAGAATTTTATCTTGCCATTTGATATGGTGCCAAATAAATTTATTTGAGAGGTAAATAGAACAATTACTAGCAATTCTAAATATATATATATAGAGAGAGAGATAAATATTTTGATAAATGATAAATGGTTTTTGTGAGGATTTTGAGGCAAGGCAAGGTCTTTAGCATATTCTGAATCATCAAATTTAGATTAAATTGTTGTCAATGTTCTGTTAATGTTAAATGTTTTCATTATTTTGCAATTCTTTGAAAACAGAGGATTCATTTGTTGTAAACGGTAAGTAAGCCTTTTAACAAAACAGATTCAATCAGTTAATTTAAGAAACGTATTCAGGCTTGATTTGGGTCTTAAGATCGAGAAGGCAGAGAGAAGAATAGATGGAATATTTGGTATTCTTCAAAATATGTGCAGAGGGGCCACATCTATCAAGTTAATAATCAATTCTTTTTAATTACTTATATGATATAAAGAGTAATAGATAACTCAGATCCGAGTATGTAAGATAGTACAATGCACTTGAATGATCTTGGAAAATATATGTTAATAAAAGAACAAATGTGCATATTTCAGATAGATATGTTCAGGGGATTTTCAAACTTTTATTAATATTCTGCCAGACTGTGATCTGCATAATAACTAGTGTTAAAAAATGTGCCCCAAAACACATAAATAAGATATTCTGCTATATATCATCTGAAGGTTTTGACCTGGAGGCTATATATTATGGGAAAATTGCTCAACTGATGCTGATCTATTGTAAGGATATACTTCTTTATAAATTCATTCAGAAATGGAAGACTACAGATCTCTTAAGCAAATTTCAGTGAAATGCAGGTATGTTTGAATATATGAAGTGAACACAGAAAGAGAAGGCTTTGGAAAAAAGGGAACCCTTGTATATTGTTGGTGGGAATGTAAATGAGTACAACCACTATGGAGAACAGTTTGGAGGGTCCTCAAAAAACTAAAACTTAGATGATTTTTAAACGAGCACTTTGGATGAATTCCCTGCAATGACGTCTTATCTGATGAAATGGAAAAATATTCAGGAGTCATACAGATATGGATCACAGTTTTGTGCTTACCTCTTACCAGATAGGCTACTTTCAGCTTAATCTTTTTGACCTTTAATTTCTTCAGTCATAATATGAGGATGATAATGTAACTATCACAGGGGCAGAATTGGAAAGAATAAGAACTTAGTATAGAGTAGATATGCCTGCATAGAAGATCTTTGAAGATGCTTTAAAACATTCGACTACTTATAGAAATGTGAGGCTTATCACTTGAAATAATAAATTAAGTAGCAGAGTGGATACTCTCTCTCTAAAGTAACACTCCACGACAGAATTTTCTGCAATGACAGTAGATTTATGATCTGTGATACAATACAGTAGCCAGTAGTCACACATGGCTATAGAGTACTTGAAAGTACTTAGTAGCTAGCGCTTCTAAGGTACTAAATGTTTAATTAATTCAATTTTAATTTTAGTAGCCACATGTGGTTAGTGGCTATCATAATTGCACAGCACAGCTGAAACAAAAAGTTTATTTGGAAAATAAAAATTAATACATAAAACCAAAATAAGACCTTACCAAATTTAAATCGAATATTGGCAATCAGGTCTTTTCACTCAACCATCTTGACAAATGTGTTGTTTTAAAATGTAGTGCTTTATTCAAGGAAAAATTTTGTCGTGTCTCCCTTAGGGCAGCTTAATGAACTTCCAAGAAATTTCTGATTTGTCTTGAAAGCTGCTTAATTAATTCAAATAAAACAAATAAGCCTGCTGGCAAAATTTTAGCTTTGTTAAAATGTGCTTTTCATTTGACATTCTTTGAAAGATTGTCAGCACATGACAAAAAGGCTCACTACAGGTTCTTAGATGAGTCTTAGAAATAGAAATGCTCTAAATTTTGTTTTAGAATGTGTGATACGCCTAAAGTAAGTATATGATGTGCCGAAAGTACTGGGGCATTTGTATGGCCCCGTGGACAAATATACTGTTTTGACTGCTTGTTAAAAGTAATGAGAATGGAATACAAAGCATAGCCCCAGGCATGCAGAGGGCCATGACATGGGTGACTTTAACTGAATGCACTTTGACTTGCAGAAAGGTCCTGTCATGAAAGTGGCATATTTACTATGGGAAATGAGAGTTTTTAAAAAAAAGAGAGAGGGAGAAAAAAAAAAGCATGTTTTGATTCATCCATAAACTTTAGTAAATTTTACAATGTGAAGTAAGTAGGCCAACCATAATGATTTCTTTTAAAAGACCCTTTGTCCTGCAGAATAGGATGAAAATTTAATTAATATTAATTTGCTCTACTTTTGTTGAATAGACAAGAATAGCAAAGTCACAGTTAGTTTATCCTAACTAGGCTAATATAAAATGTATATGAAACGTTCAAATAGCAATGAAAGAGAAGGGAGAAATATTCTAGAAAAAAATAGGTCAATTTATACATGAAGGGGTCCTACTATTGACTATTTAATATTCATTAGCTGAAATTAAAGGCATTGGCAGAAGAGATTTATTAAATGTTTGAAATGTATATAGTATGAAATTTCATAAGACTTAGAATATTTCTAAAACTAATATATACATATATTGATTTAGCTTACTTTTTTATGAGTTTCAGTATACCTTGGAACAAACAGGGAAAGTGTTATTTCACATTTTAAATATTTGGGAAATGAGTTTCAGAGTGATAATATATTATCCTTATCATCATATGACTGGTAAATGATAGTGGTAGGAACCAGAGTGCAGTTCCTGACTCCTAATTAACAGATAGCTTGTAGATGTTTAGATAACCCTAAGAGCAGGATCACTGCAAGTTCATGTTACAAAAGGAAAAGAGTGAAACAGAAAAAAGGCTGGGCGTGGTGGTTCACGGCTGTAATCCCAGCACTTAGGGAGGCTGAGGCAGGCAGATCACGAAGTCAGGAGTTCGAGACCAGCCTGGCCAACATAGTGAAACCCCATCTCTACTAAATATACAACAACAACAAAAAATAGCCAGGTGTGGTGGTGGGCACCTGTAATCCCAGCTATTCAGGAGGCCGAGGCAGGAGAATTACTTGAATTCAGGAGGTGGAGGTTGCAGTGAGCTGAGATTGTGCCATTGTACTCCAGCCCAGGCAACAGTGCAAGACTCCATCTCAAAAAAAAAAAAAAAAAAAGGAAAAAGTAGGGGAATGAAGTGATTAAAGTGATTACCAAGTAATTCTGATTGGTTAAAAAAAAAAGGTAAAAATAAAACTTATTTGTGACTTTGATGAGGTTAATTTTCAACTTTTTAATAGAACATGTTTCTCTCTAAAGAAAAAAATAATCTATAAGGGTTCTTGATGTTATTAATAGTTACCACTTAAAAAGGAATCCAGATTTGAAGCCTTCTCTTTCAAGAAAAGTCATACTACAATACTAATTTCCTATATACATATAGATATTTACATACTCACACACATCATACTACACATTGCAGTATTTCAAAGAACTGTTGGTCAGGAGTAGGAAATCACAGGATCTCTTTAACTTTCATTTTTTAATTCAGATGGCCTGTTATTTATAAAGCTTTTTAAAATACTGTAAGTATTTTCTGACAGGGAAGCCAACATTTTCACAAATAGAAACATCCCTCAAGCACCCAGTCTGACTCAGAATATGTATATAAACCACAGGGACTTCCTTCTTTCCTCATGGTAGGAACTCAGGGGAAATTAGTTTATATAATGATGTTACAGATATTTTTATTTTCTGCTTCAAATTTCCATCTTCTCTGGTGTATATCAGCAGTCACGTTTCTGTACTATCCCAGTGACAGGGTGCTGATTGATTTCCTTAAGGCAGGCCTGAGAGTGTTTCAAAGGTTGGCAGTTTGTGTTAACAGAACAGATGATCAGCTTTTTCTCAGATTAGTAATCATACTCAAACCCCTCACTTGTTTCTACCCATCCCATAAGGCATCCTTGTCTTTTCAATGAATCTCAAAAGATCATTTAATCTGGGGTAGTCTTTTAACATAGCCAAGATGTTTGGGCCTTTGATTCTATTTTAAGTAAAAATCTTCCCCATTGATAAAAGTTGGACTGGATTTATGAAACTAAGTTTAGAATTAGATTTGTTTTGAGATCTGGGATTAGAAAATCTAAATTGCAAAAGATCTCATCTACCACAAGATTTAGAAATCTTGATTTAAATTTCTGAAATGAGGCATCAAATAATATATTATGAAGACAAAGAACAAGCAAACTTTGTTTTTCTGAAGAAAATAATATTTTTTAACCTTATGTGTCCATAGCTCAAAGTGATGTGTAATGTCAGGAGAAGTAAGTAAAGATTTATTAACGTCATTGTTATACTATAACAATGAGTATAACAATTTTAGAAAACTTACCTAGTTTATTTGCCTCCAAGAGGCTCAGAAGAGTTTGAATATAATGATTTCTTCAATTTTTTTCAAATATAAAATGAAGTTTCACTTAAAATTTCCCCATTCCAGCTTTAATATTACTTGATTTTATATTCTCTGAATTCTATAATTTGCATATTAATATTTTTGATCTAGTGTAAAGAAGCAAAAGA